AGAGTATTTTGGTCCCCATTTTTAAGAATAAAGGGGATGCACAAGAGTGTGCAAATTATAGAGGAATTAAGTTGATGTGTCATACTTTAAAATTATGGGAGAGGGTAATTGAACATAGGTTAAGATGCATCACAAAAATTTCTCATAATCAATTTGGATTTATGCCGAGCAGGTTTACTATGGAAGCTATACAGTTATTAATAGGTTTGATGGAGAAGTTCAGAGATAATAAGGAGAATCTACATTTAATTTTTATTGATTTAGAAAAAGCTTACGATAAGGTTCCAAGAGATATCCTTTGGAGAGTTCTCGAGAAGAAATGTGTTGATATGACTTATATTCAAGTCATTAAAGATATGTATACTAGAGCTGTTACTTGTGTTCAAACTGAAGGAGGATTGACAAAATATTTTCCTATTTCTGTTGTGTGAACGATTTAGATATCTTGGATCCGTTTTCCAAAGCGATGGTGATATAGATGGGGATGTTAATAGTAGAATTCAAGTTGGTTGGTTGAAGTGGAGGAATGCTTCGGGCCTTTTGTGTGATAGAAAAGTACCGCTAAGACTGAAAGGAAAATTTTATAAGATGGTGGTGAGACCTGCAATGCTCTATGGCGCTGAATGTTGGCCTTTAAAAGAGAAGCATAATAATAAGTTAAGTGTTGCCGAGATGAGAATGATTAGGTGGATGAGTGGCTTTACACTTAGAGACAAAATGCGGAATGAATATATTCGTGATAGGGTTGGTGTAGCTCCTATGACAGACAAAATTAGAGAAGTCGTCTTAGATGGTTTGGTCATATTAAACGTCGACCATTAGATGATCTGATTAAGAGAGTAGATGTTTTAAATTCGACTTGTGTTAAGAAAGGCAGAGGTGGACCTAGGAAGACTTGGGCTTATTGTATTAAAAATGATCTTAATTTACTAGAACTAAATGAAAATATGACACTAAATAGGACGCAGTGGAGAAAAAGTATTCATGTAGCTGACCCCACGTAGTGGGATTAAGGCTTTGTTGGTGTTGTTGTTGTTGAATAAAGTTTTTAAAAGGTTGTGCAAACTCTAGAATTTTCAAAAAATGGTTGGTCATGGGTGCTTTGTCTTGGACTTTGATAATGAGACAAAATGAGATTGCACAAGTGATATGACACTTTGGACCTCACTTAGACTAAGGTTTTAGCTTGCATTACTCTTCTTCTTTTTTTTTTACATCTGTACATAAAAAACAACATTGTAATTGAGTTCAAACGAAAAATAATATTAAAAATAACAAAATACAAGAATTAATGTCCACCAGCAGTCATAGATATGGTAATTGAACATGTCCTAGAACAAAACCTCTCCATCATAATAATTGGCAATGAATGTGTTTCTAATGACAACTAATTTCAAAGATAAAAAAAGTTCAATATTGAATCAAATAATGGATCCAATTTGTGCCAACCCTTCCTGGAGGGAAAATTATTACATCAAGACTCCTAACGTAGAGCTACGTTCGGATTAGAATATCCGGTTATGTTACGGAAATATTCCATCTGCGTTATTTGTAAAAATGATATATTATTTGAGTATTATATGGTGTTATTTGATTGTTTTGCGGTGTTATTCGATTAATTTACGGTGTTATTGGAATATTCCCCTACATTACTTGATTTGGGGCTCTGTTATTCGACATATTACCCGTGTTATTTTAATTTCCACTATATTGTTGGAATAACACAACCCCAAATCAGGTAATGCGAAGAAATATTCCAATAACACTTCAGTCTCAAATCAAATAACGCGATGGAATATTCCAATAACACCATAAAATAATCAAATAACACCATATAATACTCTAATAACACATCATTTTTACAAATAAAGCAGATGAAATATTCCCGTAACACAGCCGGATATTCAACTCCGAACGTAGCTCTATGTTAGGAGTCCTGATGTAATATTTTTCCTTCCTGGAGGCTCTGTTCTTAATGTTATCTGCAAACACCATCTATCCATGCTAGCTTCTTTTATATATTCAACCAGCTTGTACGAGGACCAATTAAGCCTTTGCATTCTAATAATTAAAAAGCAAAGTTGTACTAAGTCCCTCTAACGGCTTGAAGGTGTATACTATTATACATATTTCCATAAGTAAAAAATTTTGGAATTGAGCCACACACTTTTTTTTCCCACCAGAGGTCTTCAACGTATAAATTTTACTCTCAGGTACCACAAGTGTATGTGGATTTCTTGAGATGATATAATGTAAGAGACACTCATGCTTAAGAGCTTTTAAACATTTTCCAACACAATAATATAAATAAATCAGAGCAAGCCACTATAATAAACAAGCATAAAAATGTCGAACTTTTTGCGATCAACTGCGCCTGCAAAATTTAATGCTCTAGATCATGAATATCTCCATAAACATTACCAAAAAAAACACAGGCTTCACGCAAACTTCTTGACCTCTTACGCATATATAACAATTCAAAACATAACAAGTAGAGATTAGCTGCAACCGGATCGATTTTCTTGTGGCCAAACTAAGAGTCAGATAATTGCTTCAAAAATTAAATGCAAAAAGAGACAAAAACCTCTTTTTATTCCTCCAGATCTCTGACAACCTTGATGCCCATGCTATTCGCAGTTCCCATGATAGACTTGCAAATGGATTCGAGGCTCATGAACTGGCAGTAGGGATCGGACTGTTTCAACTTGGCGATCTCGTATACATGGCGGACAGTGATGGAGGACGTCACAACATGACCAGGACGGCTGCTTCCGGATTCGATGCCGGCGGCCTTTTTCAGGAACCAGGTGACCGACGGGGACTTCACAATAAACTCGAAGGTATTGTCTTTGTAGGCGGTAATGGTGACTGCCATGGGGGTGTCCGGCTTGTATTTTTGAGTACGGGCATTGAAGTCCTTGCAGAAGGCCATGAGATTAAGACGGTACTGGCCAAGTGCGGGACCGACGGGAGGAGCCGGTCGGGCTGCGCCGGCGGGGACGGTGAGGCGGATCGTGGCAGCGATTGGGCGCCGAATCTCTTTGGCGACTGACATGAGAGACTAAAATGAAGAGATTGCCGGAGGGCAATTGGAATAGCGGGAAGTAGGAGCGTGGGGATGAAAAGCCCTCGCAAGGTTTCTCTGCCACAGGTCCCAAAAGCAAGTACTAAATTTTTTCATTGGTATGACCTAGGGGCATAGAGAAAAAATTTGGGTCAGCAGTGCCTTCATGAGGCATAGAGAAAAAATTTGGGTCAGCAGTGCCTTCACGAAGATTATATAAACGTTATATCGACATTACATTCACCTTATATTGACATTATATTCACTTTATATCACTTATAACATTCATATAATTTTCATGTAACCTACAGATATGTGAAAACAGAAGCGCAGAACTTATTTGTAAGTTCAGCTATATTACAGGTAAGTTATATAGAGATTACATAGAATTTACAAGAGATATAACGCGAATATAATGTCAATATAATGTCTATATAACCTCAATTATGTACGCAGCACCGCGTACGTCTTACGTACGCAATTTTTTCTCGAGGCGTAAAGCGGTGCAATTTAACTTAAATATGATTTAATAAATTTGATAAATCCAAATTTATGAGATGAAAAAAAATTAAATTTAGAAAAATGATTTATTCGATTAAGGGTCTGTCTGGGGCAGCTGCACTTTATCTAGCTTATGCTGATAAGCAGTTTATCCTGATAATTTCGCAGCTGATCCTGCTAAGTTGTTTGTCTGATTTGTGCATTTGTAAAATAGCTGATTTGCAGCTATTTCTGGATAAATGATCATTCTGCCCCTGAACTAAATAAGATATTAAGGTGTTTTGTTTCTGCGGTTGAAAACAGTTAACTTGTAGTTGTTTGTGGAAAAATGATCATTTCGGTCACACGCAGTCGAGTTGTTTGCAATAGTAATATAATGGGAAAACATTTAATATACTAAAATCCAAAAAAAAAACGCTACATAACAGTTCAAAGAAAAAAAGATATGTTCTTCACTCAAAAGAGACTATCTACAAACCTAATAAAAAAAGAAAAAAATATATGAAAATTACAACTAAAATTATGATAACTTCATCTTAAAATGTAAAAGGATCATATCTAGAGCAATGTTCTCTAGTTGAGATGCTGTCGAACCTCGATCAAGACTGTTCGGTTGGGATATTGGTGAGCCCTGATCACTATGGGCAGTGGAATAGGTTGGAATGTATGTCCACCTGAAGAACTGACACATGTCCGAACTGTTTGCCCATCGTGGGCACCTGTAGAATCGTCGGTTGTAGTTATGTGGCTGGTGCGATGCGAGCAACAATGTAGGTAATCCATAGCGGCAAATCACTTGCCTGGAGTTCCCTAAAAGCTTTGAGCTCATTTTTTTCCTATAAAAAAAGCAAAAGAAAAACGTTAGTGATTTATATGTATTTACACATCTAACCCATAATCTTCAATCCCCATAATCTTCAATAACCCATAATCTTCAATCTATTTTTCATAAAAAAAAAGAAATATTAGTATTTTTTTGATTAGTATTTTTTTGTGATGTGAAATCATCTGGTGATATAAATGTAAAAATGCATATTTTTTGAGAGCACATGACTGATAGGAAAGCAACGAGATTTAACACAATTGATAATTTAACACAATTGATAGCAACGAGATTTAACACAATTGATATCATGCCCTTCCTCATGATGGCTTGCTCCCCAAATCGACTACTAACTCATCACATCTATCAAAAAATGCATAAATGTAAGTAGTAAACAGTCCCGACATTCGTCTTGCATAGCTGCAGTAGTGTTTCCGTATTTTTGTTAGTGTTAGTTTTTTTTGCTTTGCTTTTGCATTATTCCTGTTTTTAATTGATTTATCGTTTGTCTGCAGGAATTAAAGGAGAAGAGGAAGCAGCCTGCCATGTTTGCCTACGAGAGGAAGAAACAATTGGCAAAGCTACGCTCCAAGGCTGAGAAGACTGCAGAAGGGAAACTTGGTTCTGAAATTCAAATCCTTGCGCCAATCAGGTACCGAAATGCGTTTTCTTTTTTTTTTTTTTTTTTTTTTTTTTAAGGCTGAGAAGATTGCAAATGTTTTTTTTTTTCTCTTTTCTATTCTATCCATAGGTTCCCATTGGATTCCTTTGAAATTAGAAAGTATCTTGTGAGAAATAATGAATATCAGTTTCATCATTCACAAGCGGCAACCCAGTAAGCTTTTATTACAGGTATTTATAATGAAGGTTAATTATGCATGGGGCATTTCAATACATACCATCCAATTCCTATATATATATATTTATATAGATAACACCTAAACTTTTACTACTTACATTTACGCTACCCAAAGCTTTCATATCACATAAAAAATAAGACTTTTATAACTACACTATAAATCACCATCAAGCCTCTCAAACCTTCATAATCGTAAATGAAGCAAATTACAGCAACATTTTATAAAGCATATTCATAAATCATATGTAAATGCAAGGTTCCCACCCTACGGTATATTTATAAATCATATACTGGAAGAACTTGAAGCATATTTATAAATCATATGTAAACTTTGGCCAAAGAAAAATATATAAAGCATATTTATAAATCATATGTGGCCAAATAAAAATATATAAATCTGCAACTGTATAATTTTGTACTGGAAGTTGAAGCCATTACTGGAAGAAATTGAAGCCATTACTGGAGCTTGCTTACAATAAAAAATAGAAAATTTATGGAAGCTTCGAGGAAGTAGTGTCATTCCAAACCTTGCTTCCGTTCCTTGGAATTTTTTCCCATAATGTCCATAATCTGTCTACATTGCCATGGTGTGCCAAAAGAGTTGAATCCAGCAATGAATTGGCGATGCATAAGATGAAGATTGCATTTTTTGCTTGGAAACAGATTCTGGAGTGCAATCTCCCTTACATCATAAAACACATCAACTCTCCCTCCCTCCCACTAGCTAGCACGCTCACACACACAATTGCATTGTGAACACACATCCATTAACATGCAAATAATGTGAGCTGGACGAACAACTAATGATGTACTTTATTTAGGCAAGGATTTGGAATTTGAACCTTACAAAATTTCTTATCAGCTCAAATTATAATCAACTTGATCAATAAGAATAGGAACATAAACAATCAATGATTAGGGATATGATAGCTACACTATAAATCATATGTGGCCAAATAAAAATATTTAAATCTGCAACAGTATAATTTGCAAGGTTCCCATCCCAACGGTGCTAGCTTTGTAAATAGCAATGTTTCGGTTGCCTGGAAGTTGTGAAGCCCACAGAAGCCATGGTCACTTTAGAATTATAAATGCCTGATCCTAATTATTTGTAGCTGTTTATGAAGTTAAGGCTTTAAACAGCAAATATGTGATCCTTTTAAATGCTTGCATTAAATAGAAAAGACAAAACAACACCATTTTAAAATGCAAAAAATGCTTTAAACAGCAAAATGCTTTAAACAGTAAAACTCCTTCCAACAGCATCCAATGACCAAAATGTGCAAACTCGAAGCCAATTCAAGACAAACACAAAAGTGGAGAAACTGTGAATAAAATACAATAAATTATTTTCCCTGTTTATAATTTCCTTCCTTCCAAAGATATGTATAATCATGTTTGAAAATAAAGTTTAAGGACCCACAAAAAACAGTGTCATGATCGAGCAATTTTGTCCGCTATCTAATCTCGCAATGTCGTCATTTCTCTTGCACCTCCACCTTCGCAACTGTGAGAATGTTCTTATTCTTCTTGGGGTATGGGATGTCCGACATGGAATTCAAATGTTTCTTGTAGAATCTGATGCAGGTCTTCTTCTACATATGCAAATTCCACATTAGAGTGAGAGTGGTGGTGTCGTATGTAGTTGTGCAGAGCCATGGTTGCCACAACTATTATAATTCCGTATCCACCTTAACCTCAGCATGTGCATTTAGGATTCGAAGACACCCATCAACGGATATATCCTGTGATGCAGCAAGCTTAACATTGCAAGATTCAACAAGTTTTTTGATTGTGCTTCTGGCGAATGCGGCTCTTTTATTTCTTTTCTCTACTCTAGGTTGTTTTGGAACAGATGAGGATTCCACTAATCTATGGATTTCGCAGGGCACTTCTCCTGAGCCACTTACATTATCAGTTCCAAGAACATCAGTTGTGCCAATGAAGTCAGGTTCAGATGGGGTGAAAGCATGTGCTCCCGCTGCAACAACCCCACTGAACATACCATCCAGCTTCTATTCCATTACTAGATCAATGCCATTCATTTTGAATTTCTTAGCTGTTGGCACGACCTGCACTGCATAGAAAATTGAATTAGTTGAATCAGTTCAATATAACTAAAATTGAAATAAGGAAATGGTATAAGGAAAGTCTTTACCTTAAGTTTCTCAGCCCACCAATCATCAGGAGCATCTATTGTTCGCTTCACTAGATCCCAGCTCAAACCTGTAGTTCCCCTCTTAAGTTCTTTCCAAAATTTTCAATCATTCTTTAATTGATAAAAAATTTTCAATCATTCTTTAATTGATCTCACTTGTTCTTAAATTTCATCTTGTCATAGTCTCTTCTTGTCAGTTCCTTGAATTTGACAATAAGATTCTGCCAACATTCTTTGTTAAAATATGTCGTAGGCCTATTTCCTAGCTCCACCTCCTTAAGACAGATACCACAGAAAATAATTATTGCTTTCCTGTCCCACATGACAGATGATCCAACTTCATTGCTCTTATTCATCGCAATATTTACTACTGAAAAATTAAATAAGAAAAGAATGCATTTAATACATGAGCATAAAAAATCCAATAATGCTGCAACAATTTCACATAAAAATCCAATAACATGAGCATCAAAAATCCAAAAATCCAATAAAGCTTTAAACATTGAAGAAGACCTTAATATTAGAAAAATATTTGGGAAAGAATTTGTGACATGAACTATTTCACGTTGAGTTAATGCCACAACATGATTGTTGGAAATTTTAAAGCTCATATGTGAAAGATGTAAAGACGCATATTTTCAAAGTTTCAAATGGAATGCAATAGCTCATTTTAACAATAAGAGAACAATAATAAAACCATAAGAAAATATGTTAAGTTTCCTAACTATCGCTATAGGGGTGCCATTGAGTCGTGTTTAGAAATGTAGAACTCCACACAAGCTTA